TTCCAGTGACACGTTTCGTATGTACGGTAGGTTACCTCAGAAGAAAAGCAGCGTGAGCCTTCGCAATTAAAATGTTCTTTTAAGTGTTGTAAAAAGAGGACGGTTAGGCCATCTAATTCCCTCCCTTCCCATTTTTTACTTTCATGCCTACGCTGAATAATCGAATAATCATGTAAAATTTTGTAAGTGAAGTTGCATGATTTTAAACCTGCGTAACGTTTTGCAGAAAATTGTGCTCGCATTTGCATGCATTTTTATGCATATTACACACTGCAACAAATGTGAATAGTACAACAAAAACACAACAAAAACTGTACAACAGGAACTGTAGAAAGTACAAAGAGAATTGTACAAACCACAAGGAGACCTGGACTGCACAGCACTCATCATGCCGCTTCCATTGTACTTCATACAACAATTCGAGGGGTCCTGTTCTAAAGATCATATCTGGGCGTTCCCCCCGAGACAATCTTTTCTTAAACGCCGGCAAATTTCACTCATTTTGATCATTCAGAATAAATACGACGGTGAGCGAAACATATTTCTACGTGCACTTTTGGCTTCTTTGATCTTTCATCTTTAGATTTACTTGAACAAACTCACAAATTATATTGATATGTAGCTGTATCAAATGAACAAACTATGTGAAATTCACCTGCGTTTAAGATAAGATTGTCTTGGGGGGAACGCCCAGAAAAGATCTTTTGAATAGGACCCCTCGAATTGTAGTACTTAAAAAGTACAATAAATTCCTGATAAAAAATTTGCCAGAAATTTGTGTACGTTTGTTGTGTTTTTTTCTAGCAGTGTATGCAAATTCCACGTATGCAAGTTACTCGTACAAAATTCTACATGAACACGAGTGTGCCTGTTCTCCAACGCCAAAATCCAACCCTCTCTTCCGGCGCAAACACTTGTCGGACTCACAGATCCATCGGCAGGGATGTCCCAAGACGTCGGGAAGGAGACAAGGGGAGTCTCGCGCATCAACACCGTGCCGGCGGGGATGGCCTTGGCGGCCACGAAGTGGCGTCCCAGCAACGGGTCACTGCGCACCTGTAAGGAAAAGCCAGTTCACTGGTAAAACTAAAGCGTAGCATTACCCACTGTTTTCAAGCGTACTAATCAGGTTACGCTTGAAATCAAGCGTAACAGGCTCATCCGCCAAGATTCCCCCTATCTAAATGCATGGGGGAATTTCTAGTCTATGCTTGATTTCAAGCGTAACGTCTTCAAGGGTAACTTTATGCTTGACTCAAGCATAGAGTTACGCTTTAGTTTTACCAGTGTTCGATCAGCACTAAGGGCTTTGTTACAGAAATTGGATTTAAAGGTAAATTATCACTATAGTAGAAAGGTCTGCCAAGTTTATATCATGCACCCTCGTGTAATGGGTATGTTGTACAACCTCCACAAACATTGAAATGCAGACACAATTGAGCACTATGGAAAACAAAACACAACACTGAAATGCAGAGACGATTGAGCATTAACGAAAAATTAATTAAATGCCAATGATGGCGCACTCCAACGGTTCAACATATTGGATAAGATTCGGAAAAACGTGCATGAAAACTGAATTTTCGAAATTGAAGCTTAGAAAACCTCTAATAGTCCGGAGCCATTAGAAGTGACAAAATAGAACTTTATAATGACCCAGTATCGACCGGAATATCACAAGAAACCCCAAGCTTAAAATTTCAGTTGTTAGGGGAACCACCTTCTTACGCCTTTCACCCTCTTGCTTTGCTGCATGAATGACAAGTGCAATTGCGAAGGGGTAAAAGCGACAAAGGATTTTAAGACTTAAAGTAATGCTCTGAAAGGCATCCTAAGGCATTAATCATGCCACTAGACAGTTAACCTTTTGAAGCCCCCTAAATATTGTCTGGATTAGGCTTCAACTTTAAGAACTTGAAGCCGCTTTGATGCGTTCCCGCGGGTAAATTTTAGATGTGGCGCGCAACTGCAGGCTGATTCCGTGAGTCGTTTCTGTAGCTCGCCCTCTCTCTCTCTCTCTCCTTTTCTCTCTCTCTCTCTCTCTCTCTCTCCTCACACTCCACTCACACTCACACTCACACACTCACACAACCCCACACACACACACACACACACACACACACACACCTCTCTCTCTCTATACGGGACGTCCCCTGAGTGCGAGTAGAGATGTGCGATCATGTTCGCATTCGAGCGAACTCGAACGAACAGCGGGACTGTTCGGTCGAACAGCGGGACTGTTCGGTTCGCTCGAACCCGAACTCGCGGTGTTCGACCCCGAACTGTTCGAAAAAAAATGAACAGATTATGTTCATGCCTGAACACGCGATGGTAGCGGACATGATGGTAGCGGAACGAATAGAAGGCGGAGGGGTAGGGGTGGTGCGCTCTCGTCTCTCAACTGGAACGGTCACCTCGAAAACAAATACAATATGGCTCCTTGTTTTGACTTGGTTATCCTTTAATAGTTTAACTTTCGTGTTTCTTTACTGTATATGGTTTGGTATGTTTTATGAGTATGGAATTCGGTTGGGAGGAAGGTTAGTTTGACCTTTCCTTTCACGTCACTTTGTTTATCTTTTTGTGAACAAGCTTCAATGCTCTAAGTCAAACAAAGTTAACCTCTCCATCCAGCAGGTTTGGACTGAGCATATGCCTGAACTGAAGTGTCATGCTGAGTAAATATTTCATTCTCTACTATAAATGCATGTCTGGAATGCAGTATCTTATCCCTCAGATTTTAAAAGTCAATAATAATAGCAACAGTTTACGCAACCAACCATTGTGTGCCCCCATCCCCATCGGAATTAAACTTGAGCTTGCTGCGGTTTCTTGAATGATTGATTTATTCAGTTGTGATTTGTATCTATTATAGAACTACTCAATACTTGTCAAACTAGTTCAGTATTTCTTTAATGTTTGTGTTCGATCGAATCTGAACAAAAACCTTGTTCGTTCGGTTCGTTCGAGAAAATTTTGAAATTGTTCAGTTCGGATCGTTCGAAGGCTTTGGAAGTTGGAAGTGTTCGTGTTCGTTCAAATTCGAACTCGGCTGTTCGCACATCTCTAAGTGCGAGAGGGTCGGGGTGAGGATAACGTCTCTCGGAATGTCTGCTGCAGCAGTTGCCTGCGGACTCACCTCGAGGAAGCTGCAGCCCAGCTTGTGGCGAGGCCAGTCCTGCAGCTGGTGGTCCTTGCCGCAGTAGAAGTCTACGCGGCACCGCGCGCACGCTCGTCCCTGCGCACCGCACACCGCGCACGGCCCCGCGTCTTCACCTGCGGAGCACGACCGTATTGGAATAGACCCTTTCAGTCGTCACCGGGTGAAGAACAAAAGTAATCAAATAAAAAACAGGAACCAGTTGCGCGCCACCTGGTGGCGACTGTTGTGAACTTCGTCCAGACCTACACTTGTGACCAATCAGGGTTCAGCTTTCGACGGTTTACAGTAACCGCCGCTAGATGACGCGCTGCTGGTTCCAGAATTTTTTTGGACTTTGGTTCACTGCGAGAAAAGATCACGGTAAATCCTGTACTGATTACTCCAGACTTCTCCGTACTTTTTTTAACAGACAATACCGTCGTTTTTTTACAGGCAACGCCGTACTGTTTTTACAGGGAATCCCGTACTTTTTTACCCGGCAATCCCGTACTTTTAATACCTATCAAAAACTGCTATAATTTATTTCACCCTCGTTTCTCAAGATTCTGATGTACGTAACTGCTGAAGTCGGACTCCTGGACCCCCCTTCCGACCACTCGTTGAAAAGGTCTTGACGAGACCTATCGAAAGGTGCAATAAAATTTTTCAGTCGGTCGACCCCCTTTTTTGAAGATCCTGATGTGCACAATTCTTGGGAGTGGCCTTTGTTGGGACCAGATATGGTCCTTCCTACGGCATGGACTGTCCGAAAGAACGGTAACTTCTGTTAAAAAAACTACGGAATATTTTGTAAAACAAGTACGGTACATACTGTAGACTGTACGGTGGATACTGGTTTCTGAAGTACGGTAAAGTTTGGCAAAAAAATTATCCAGGATTTAACGTCATTTTTTCTCAGAGTGTTCTTCACTCGGCGATGACTGAAAGGGTCTATTGGACGAGTTTGTCTAATCGCCCCAATTCCGAAACATCCAAACGAATGTGGCACAATACTCAAAGGAACGTGACATTTTGTCACAGTCGTTTCCTGGAATGAGTGTGTTCACGTGAACGGCACACTGAATTACTATGCCGGTTTTTCTGCGCGCCACTGCACGAAATTAAACATGCACTTCGTAACGCACGAATTTGTGCGCGACGGTGCACGATTTCGTGCGCAAGCATGCAGAAAATCGTGCATTGTTACGCACAAATTTGTGCGTTACGAAGTGCATGTTAAATTTCGTGCATTGACGCGCAGAAAAACCTACATAGTAATTTAGTGCGTGGAGAGGCAGGACTTACGCAAGTGCATACCTCTCGCACCTGGAACTCAGGGTAGGACTCCCTTAGAGATGTTCCACAACCGTGAAGCAGTACTAAGGAACTCACCATTAGCCGACGAGTTGCTAGACATCGTCAGAGCCTCCAATGCAAAAAATCAACAAAAACGTGCCCTGTAAAAGAAAATCCATAGAAAAATTAAGTCATAAAAGTTTCATGCCAAGGAAGACAGTCTGGCGCGTCTGAGCACGACCATACACTAAAGAAATGAAAGTACAACCAGGGTTGGCAACCGATAGCAAAATTCATTTTCACGTCTATTCTACGAAATCTACGATTCAGTAGGGGTCTTTCCTGGCTTGGGATAGAACAGTTTTGAACCGGCAATTGGCGTTTTAAGGCTACCCTACAAATCTCTAGTCATTGGCCATTTTCTATTCACAGACTCCGATTTCACAAAATCTCAAAAGCCTTGTAGCAAATGTGATAAAATGTAAAAATGGCCACGAAAAGGAGGCCACGTACGCGTGGAAGACATTTAAGCGAACATCAACAAAATATAGGGAAAGACTAGTTTTAGTACCTGATGCCCGGAAACAGAACCTTGATCGTAACACGCACTCTGGAGATTAAGAGATAATTTAAAAATGAATTTCGTTTACGGTTGCTAACTCATGAAGTTAGATCGACTCGGGACGGGTGGGTCCGCATGAAAGGGCGACTTAAGGGCGCCAACAAACCATTCTAGTCGTGGCCGAGTGAAGAACAAGAAGAATGACGAAAGACTCCTTTAGGGCATTTGGAGTGCACATGTTCACTGAAGATATTGTGCATTTACTTTAAAATATTCTCACTGACTTCTCCCAAGCAAAGAGTCTTAAATATTTAAAGTAAAAGTTCCAAAAGGTTATCTTTAGTGATTCTTCTTTGTTCTCACTCGGCCACGACTAGAATGCTCTATTAAAACGCAACGCAAGGACGAAAGAAAGGTACGCCGGAAAACAAAGGTCTCTGTATCGCACGGAAGATATATGCTGGCGTAACACGAAGCGATCGCAGGCAGCGCGTTAACCGGAAGAAAGGGACTTCCTGGTGCATTACAGCCGCCGATGCGGGCAAACGAACTGTGTACGAGCTACGAACATACGTCCACGAACACACGAAAGCTGGGCTTGTAAAGCTAAACAGTAAGTTACTACTGTTGGCGCGCCCCGCTAGTCTCAACATCAGCAACACACTTTCCCTTGCAGTCCAAGTCTCGCACGGGGCGAAAATCGCCCGGTTTACTCGAGCAGTCGAGCGTACGCACCTCATCTCACAGAGAGAGGGTCCTCAGTGCAGGCCACGGGACTCGGCACGGCGTGTTCACTTACAATTTGATATGAAACCACTGAAGTAGGACCAAACTACCCCAACTACTTTACCTCACGGTAACGCAGTACGCAGGGTGCAGCCTAGGCACACTGCAGGGTTGCGGTTGGGAAGCAGGCGAGCACGTCTTTTGACTTGAGGTAAAGCACTCTGGGCGGTCAAGCCAAACACAGCACTGCTCTCCGCCGAACGCGCCACCGAAGGAACGATCGCGCCGCACTTCCGCTGACGGGCTGTGGGTCCGCACGCGTGATGGTGCACGGTTGGAGGCCGTGACTTCACTGGACGACCCGCGACTCGTGACACGTTCTCCGAGGAGCCGTCCCGTTTTGGAATTCGCCGTCGTGCTCCCCTTCCCCCCCAGGGGCGGCCGGCGACGCCGCTTGAAACAGTAGCCTGGTGATAAAACCAGGCGGCGCAAAAACAACTCTTTCAAAGGGTCCCCTTCAAAGGCTGCCCTTCGTGACGTCAGCTTCTCAGTTCCGCAGCGCCGTCTCGTGACTGACTCAGCAGGCCCCCCTCCCCTGCCTAAGGTCATATGGAAGATAGGTCTGCGCAACCGAGATGCATGCTGGGAGACCGGGCAGCTAATCCCTCCCGAATCCGTCGCCGGCCGCAGCGGAGGACCGCCTACCTGCCTGCCAGCCTGCCTGCCGGCTTGCCCGGTCTCCCAGCATGCATCTCGGTTGCGCAGACCTATCTTCCATATGACCTTACCCCTGCCCCCATCCCGTGGACTGGCACGGCAGCATGCGATGTTGCGGTCGTAGCTGTACCTGCTCGAAGTGATTACCGCGTGACTACTTCCTGATTACCGAGCGATTACCATGTTTTCCGAGTGATTACTCTACAAACTGAAGTGTGTACTCAGTACACACCTACAGATGCATACCTAGCTGAGTACACATCTACAGATGCATACTTGACAGGTATGCATCTGTAGATTTGTACTTGATACTGGGCATTTATATGGTGACAAGTACACACCTACTAATGCATACTAACCAAGTATGCATACAGATGCATACTTAACAGGTATGCATCTGTAGGTGTGTACTTATAAGTATGCATCTGTAGATGCATACTGAGTACACACTTCAGATTGTAGAGTACTGTGTGATTACCAAGTGAGTACCATGATTACCAAGTGATTACCGTGATTTCCACGATTACGACACGATTACTAAGATTACGAATAATTACGGAGTGATTATCAATGATTTGCGCCTGCTGACTTTGTTGCGGAGTGTGTACGAAGTGCAGCCCGGAACACTTGGAAGCGAAGTGAATGCCATTCCTGTGTCCTGCACACACTAAATGTTTGTGTACAAATTTTGTACGAGACATCACCGTTTTTTGGGCACACGAACTTTTCGTGCAAATTTGTACAAAATTTTGCACAATTTTGTATAAAAATGGCGAAAATGTGCAGTTTTTCGTACGGAAATTGCACGAAAATTTCGTGTGCAGAAAAAATTTTATGTTTCGTACAAAATTGTACGTAACATTTAGTGTGACCATTAGATGATCTTGAGTTTCTTTTTCTTTTCTGCTTCGAGAGCGAGAGTGTAGCCCGGCATTCTTGGAAACGCAGTGGGTGTCCTGTGATCATCAAGTTTCATTTAATATTTTGTTTAACTTTTTCTTCATTTTTTTAAAATGAGGAGCTCGCAGGACATTGTCACTAGCCTCGCATTTTACAGTACGAACATCTCATTAAGAGACCTAATGTGTGATGAAAATGTTAGTGTTGGAAATAAATTGTCAATTATCTGCCCTAAGTTTATGAATGGTCATGGTTGTTTGTATGGTAATATCTGCTCATGTGTCACATGGTAATAAATCGTCAACACTTTTGTGACATTTTTGTAATGGTATTGTCGTCCTATTTAGGGAATCGCAGCGCTGATGATGATGATGATGGATTATCCACAACACGACTGCACTTCGTCAAACCCACTTGAAAACTTACACGCTTTTTACGGACTATAAGAACAACTCGCGCTGCTCGCTGGGGGCTCCGCCCCCAGACCCCCGCATATGTGGAGCGCGTGCCGAAGTATTTTCAGTAAGTCCATGGTGACCAAAGGCAAATTTTCTAAGGAAGTAAATGTCCTGCTTCTTTGAAAGCTCTATTTAACCGCTTTTGACCATATAATAAGACTACTTTTACTGCCCAAATAGATAGCTTGTATTGCATTGGCTACTGTGGCAGTCAATGGGTGCATACAAGGTCCGGAAAATATTAAAGACTGCTTTGACAAGGATAGAGGTGAAAGGAAAAAAACCTTAGGTCTCTACGACCACTCCTTGACCCCAAACATTTCTTTGAGTGAGTAAGTGAGTGAGTCAGTCAGTCAGTCGGATTGGGGCTATATAGATTCTTGATGATGATTGCCCAATTGCCGGTGGCGGGGTCCCGATTACGGCACTGTTTCGGAAATTCTCGACCAGACCTACCGATGGGGCGAATAAAAATTTTTAGTCATTCGGTCCCCTTTTTAGAAGATTGAGTAGGTTTGCTCGGAAACAGTGAAAAATTTTTACCTTTTGAGATTTTTCTCAATTTTCCCATTAAATTTGGAATCGAATGGAAAAACCCGCAGGTCTCTACGACCACTCCTTGACCCCAAACATTTCTATGAGTGAGTGAGTGAGTGAGTGAGTCAGTGAGTCAGTCAGTCAGTCGGATTGGGGCTATATAGGTTCTTGATTGATGAGTGAGGGAGTCAGTCAGTCGGATTTTGGGGCTTTATAGGTTCTTGATTGATGACAATTGATGATTGATTTTGAGTATGTTGCCGGTGACGGGGACCCGATTGCGGCACAGTTTCGGAAATGTCTCGACCAGACCTACCGATGGGGCGAATAAAAATTTTTAGTCGGTCGGTCCCCTTTTTTGAAGATTGAGTGGATTTTGTTGAATTTAGGCCTATTTAATCGTTTTTGTGGATGTTGCCGGTGACGGAGACCCGATTGCGGCACAGTTTCGGAAATGTCTCGACCAGACCTACCGATGGGGCGAATAAAAATTTTTAGTCGGTCAGTCCCCTTTTTTGAAGATTGAGTGGATTTTGTTGATTTTAGGCCTATTTAATCGTTTTTGAGGATGTTGCCAGTGACGGAGACCCGATTGCGGCACAGTTTCGGAAATGTCTCGACCAGACCTATTGATGGGGCGAATAAAAATTTTTTGTCGGTCGGTCCCCTTTTTTGAAGATTGAGTGGATTTTGTTGAATTTAGGCCTATTTGATCGTTTTTGAAGATGTTGCCGGTGACGGGGACCCGATTGCGGCACAGTTTCGGAAATGTCTCGACCATTCCTACCGATGGGGCGAATAAAAATTTTTAGTCGGTCGGTCCCCTTTTTTGAAGATTGAGTGGATTTTGTTGAATTTAGGCCTATTTTATCGTTTTGAGGATGTTGCCGGTGACGGGGACCCGATTGCGGCACAGATTCGGAAATGGCTCGACCAGACCTACCGATGGGTGAATAAAAATTTCTAGTCGGTCGGTCCCCTTTTTTGAAGATTGAGTAGGTTTGCTCGGAAACGGTGAGAAATTTGTTCCCCTTTTTTGTAGATAAAGTAGGTTTTCTCGGAAACGGTGAGGAATTTTCAACTTTTGGGATTTTTCCCAATTTTCCCATAAAATTTGGAATCGAATGGAAAAAACCACAAGTCTCTACGACCACTCCTTCACCCCAAACATTTCTATGAGTGAGTCAGTGATGTTTTCAGTGAGTCAGTGAGTGAGTCAGTTCGGATTGGGGCTTTATAGGTTCTTGATAGTTTTAAATGATTCGAAAAATTTTAACCTAAAATGTATTTTTGAAAAAAAATCCCCAAAAATTATGGGGGGGTGCCCTACGTTGGTCTTAAAAACTGTAAAATTTCAGCTTGGGCACAGACTTGGTTTCGGAGCCATGCCAGTAGTAGTATAGTGATGTAGCGAAGAACTCACTCAACAGCAACGAGGGTGTATCAGAATGGGTCAAATAATGATCACTAGGCAGATATAGAGGTCTTTCGCGCGGTAGGACTGGGGCTCAATCCGGGCTCTGGAAATTGGGGCTTGGGTCGGGGCTCAACCCGGGGCTCAACCCGGGCTAAGGTCGGGGCTCAGACCATCGGGGCTCAAACGGGACGGAGCTCATGTCCTGTATGCCGCGTAATCCCTCGGCCACTCGGGATTTCGGCGACACTGCGTCACTTTTAGTGTGTCTTTGTCTCCAGTGCTGTGCACATCGTATCCAGTCCGCGTCCGCGTCACCGCAAGTTCGATTCATCAATTTTGTTTCGCTGTACCCTTGCAAAATGGAAAATATATGGGCACTATATGGACAAAATATATGGCCCAACATGTATTGACGACATATGTGGAAAAGAT